TTGTTTGTGACTGAATGTTGAGTGCACATAAAGTCAGAAAGAAAGATTGCTAGATGCAATTTAATTTTTATAATAAAATCTTTTAAATTTAAATATAAATCATATCTATTATTATACTGTCATATAGTTTATTTTTCTATAGTTCAGAACAATATTTTAGATAAATGTAGTCAATTTAGGTAAATTAATTTCTTAGTAACACACCATACTAATATGTTTAAGATAATTGAGTAAATGGAAAGCACACTTTCAATGAATTATTAATAATATGATATTAACATTTTGTTTGGTCTCGACATAGTCAATTTAGGTAAATTAATTTCTTAGTAACACACCATACTAATATGTTTAAGATAATTGAGTAAATGGAAAGCACACTTTCAATGAATTAATAATATGATATTAACATTTTGTTTGGTCTCGACACAAATTCTCATTTTCTTAAAAGTCTAATATTGAGCCTTATTTTTCAAATTAATTGAATTTCAGTCTATGTTTAATCAAATTTCAATCTTTGAGAGACTTTTAATGGCATCTAATTATTGAAAGTAATTGAATATATCCGGTACTTATAATCTCTACGAATGAAATAAAAGCAATCAATCATTTGGTTAACAAAAGTTAACAAAACAATTGTTTATAACTAAGAAACTAGAAAACGAATTGCTTTCAAAATATTTTACTATTTGTTTTATCATATAATCATATCATAAAAGAATATAAATTATGATTTCCGATAAGAAACATAAAATTGTAAAACAGCTTATAAACTAATTCCCATTCAAACATTTTAACATATATTTTGTATCATATTTAAAAAATATAATTTTGTAATCAAATACTAGAAACATATACCCAAAGAAATTTTATCTAATTAGCAAATAATTAATATTATGTATCATTAGCGAAATGAAAATTAAAACAATTAATTTGATGTTTCATTGTAAAAAACTTATGGTAATTTCATAGTTCAAATATATTAAACTACAGTTTTATTATCAATGACACTTTTCAAATGGAAATGACATCTACTGTAATGTTAGCACAAGAATATCAAATAAATGTTTTAGTTATTTATTTTCATATTATTTTACATTTATAAATGCTACCGGTGCCTTTATTTTTCACATTCACGAATATGATTATTAGTTATTGATTTTATATAATTGATAAATGAAATGTTGAAATCCTGTTGTGAATTGACATTGAATTAATTTTTTTTAACAAAGACATTAACGTTAAATCTATATTTTAAAAATTATATTATACTGTACTTATGATATTATTAAATTTATTTTTAATAAAACAATTTAAGAATTATTTAATTTCATGAAATTATCAGAATTATGATAAAAATAAATAGATAAAATGTTAGAAATATCATATTATGTAAGTTTTAAAAATTTTATCGTTGTACTAATACAGTACAGTATAAAGTACTGTATATGCAAAACAAAACATTACTTAATTAAAGACTATTTTTAAACATAATTTTAAAAAATTTAATAAAGAAATCAGTTATAAATCACATTTCATGTCACAAACGAGAGATAACTGGGTGGACGAGGACTTTGGTTTAGTGGCACGGGTTTCAGACATGTTAACAAATATAATATTTTATCACTTCTTTGTATAAATAATTGAAAATATATCATAAATTATGACTTTTATCGCTAATAAATATATTGATTGTATTGTTTGTTAAAGAAATTGAATCCTATTTAGGAAATGACTGGATTTTACAAAAAAATAAATTTAACTGATTATTTTTTAGTACATTTTATTAATGGCAATCAAATCAGTACTTGTGATTAGAAAAGACCTTTATAACTTTAATATAATTTGTAAAAGTTGCTTGTAGATATTACATATTGAGAAATACCCGATTTTCGCATTTTAAAAAGTTTATGATACAGTATTATACTGTATTAATAAATTTATATGACAGTAGAAATAAATAGTTAATAAAAAGAATTTGTAATTTACAAAGAATAAACTTAATGGAAAATTATATACATTTATTTGCATTATAAACATGTTTTAAATCATTTGTTAATTTAATTATTATATTGCACTATTATAAAATGCACTAAAATTCATTTCATTACTAGATTAATGTGCCAAAAGTCATAAATAGATTTGATAATCAGTCATAAGAATATTTATAATCTATTTTAATATCAAACCAAATATAAAACGATTTTATGAATGACTCTCTGACTGTGAAATCATTCAATGATTGCAAACAGACATTAAAATAACGAAACATACAAAAAACACAATCGATCTGAAAACGGTATTTTACCGCAAATTTTGCTGACAAATCTAAAAAATATGATATCATAGCAAACATCTTAAGTAAAGTCTAATTTCCAATACTTAAGGAATTCATGACATTAACTCAGGATGTCGTCAATGATGACAATGACTGATATAACGGTGTATTGAACGGACTTGAACTTCGGTGCACTAGAAGTGTATTTATTATTATTGTTTCTAAATACTATCCGATATCAAAAATATTAACTTATATTTTAATAATAAATTAATTTAGATTTGAATAAATATCCAAAAATACATTAATATTCTTTAGTTTTATTATTTGAGTTATATAAATTACAATATTATACAGGTTGAGTTTATGGCATATGTTATAATTTATGCAAATAGTTGTCATAAGACTTGCTAATGAATTCATATCTGGATTATTGTAAGTAATTGTTGATAATTTGTAAAATATGAATTTACATTACAGTTAGATTAGTATCACCTGCAATTGATTTATAAATAAACATAAAGTTATGAACTGATTAATGATTTCATAATCATATTCTCATATTATTAATAATTAATTTATACAGAATTTTCTATAAAGGATTGTTATTTTAATACAATCCGGATATAAATTATGTTGTTATTGCATGTAATTATTAAATGCAAATAAATTAGGTGATAAACTAGACTAATAAAGTAAAAACAATAAATTATATATAATTACTTTGAATCATATACTCGTTTTTCTAATCAACAACCCGTTTATATTTGTTTTCAGGGACATTAAATACACTATTAATAATATAATAATATCTAAGCAGGTAAGTTTATGTGATAAGTATAGGCATAATATTGGTGTTTAGCTATTATAAGAGTTATGAGCAAAACAACTGTTAAAACATTCCTTGAACTCAATGTGAATATAGTATTGAGAGTGATATCAGAATTACTTTTTAAAAGTAAAATAAATGATAATAATATTAGAAAAAGTAGTCACTTTGAGGCCAAAACTATATAATATTTGTCGACATCCAACAAATCTCATGACTTTTGTGATTAGAGATTATTTAAATGTGATTTTAATACTAATTCACACTCAAACATATTCACAAGTGTTTCTCAAATCCTAATTTACATCATTATATTCAGCGCTCAATAAAGTCATTTCAATGTCATTTATTTTAATATTACTGTTACTGTATCTACATTTCCATACAATATATAATATAACCTGCGATTAACTTTGATTGAGTTACTCTACTGTATAATGTCATATCATATCATATATAATTAAAAATAATATCTTAACAAATTTTTTCATTTTCGAAAGGACTTTGGATAAAAAAAAAGTGAACAAAATATCTACAGAATCTAGGAATCAGGGACTCTGATATTTGAATCTTAATATTCACTAGTATTTGAATTTGATCCAACATAAAATATATAAAAATATTAGATTTCTTAATTATAATACCTCTTAGATTTCAAACAAAAATTAAGCAAATTGATATTAAATGTCTCATACAAATTGAGTGTATTGTATTATTAGATTGTAATAGCCATTGTTATTATATCACAATGCATTGGCAAATTAATTAATTCGAGTTAATCTTATTTACAACAAAGTTTATTAAGACTTATATTTGTTATTTTACATATTAAGTTAAATCAATAACCAATAAACAATAGATTACACAATAATGATGAAAATAATGTGATAAAGCTTTACAATAGCGAAAGTTTGATGTATTTAATAAATTTTGTTTATTCATCATTAATGAAATATTATTATTTAAACAATAATTGACAATATCTTAGTATAATATAGAATTATATAAGACTTTAAATGGGATGTGAGCCTTATTTACAAAAATTTATAAAATATTTTATTGCAGTTTTAGAAATATCCGACAAATTCTTTGGACTTTTACTCGTATTTACAATATATTTGTCTTATTTGTAATAAACTTAATATTCTTCAAACAAATATCGTTCAAGTAATATTTTAAAATAAATAATAATAATTAAATATCATTTTGAAATGTTGTATTAGCATTTAATAATATATAACAAAATCTTAGTAAATTATATGAATAGCAAACATTATTGAAACTTAAATAGTTATATCAAAAGAATGTAAAAATATTGAAACAATAATGCATTTGATGACTAATTAGAGAATAAGATGTGATTATATAGAGTGCATTCAAACGGTCCAAACATAATCAAAGAGTTGGTTTGTCTGCCAGAAAGAGCATCTATCACTTTGAGTGTAATTTCGGATCCAAATCCATGTCTTATTAGTTATTCTCGGATTGATTTCAATAAACTGTTGAGGAAATGGTTGTCCCAACGATATCATCGACGAGTGTTTGCTTACGGAGTCTGAAGTAGTGGTTGTCGTCGTGTTTGCGGCGATTGTGGTGTTTGTCATCTCTTTAGCGGTATCTCTGCTCTTATTATTACTGTTATTATTGTTATTATTATCTAAGTTTTGATTTATGTTTGAATTATTTACAAACGATTGAACTAATTGTTGAATTGTGTCGCGAATACAAAAGTCTTCTTTTGTCGGGTGTCTAATGAATGACTCGATTTCGTCGAAATAAGATATTATATCAATTAAATGAAATGAATAACTGGAAGGATAGCCATACACCCGAACCTTTGTGTCACAAAAAGAGAAAGCAATTTATTTGGAGACAGAAATCAAATTGACTTTTCGGTTAACAATAGAAACTCACGGCTTCTGAAAGTCTAGCGCTAAAGATGTATCGATATATCGATGAGTTATTGGAGTTTTGTGCCAAACTCTGTGCCAAATAGTCGGTGGGACAGACCTGGCGTAGATCTGACACCATATCTATGTACTGAATGGCAGGCGTTGTCTCATTGCCATCATCTATGGGCGCATATAATTGCAACGATTTTCGCGATATTTGAGCGCTGAATGAGTCCAGACTTGTGGTCACGTATTTGGTGTAATCCCTCCACTGCCAAGTGTCCAGATCCCTGGGTCCTGGCCAAAACTCTATCGCTTGGGCTGTCGACCCAATTAACACTGGACTATCAATTATGGATGAATTGAATGGATAAAAATCTCGCACATATTTATCTGAAAAAGTAAATTCATTGATATAAATAAAAATTATTTTAGACAATTATACAATATATTAGTTATGGGTATACAGTATAGGCATAAAAATGATAATAGATTTATGTGTATAATAAAGTACATTAAAAATATTCCCGGAATTAGCACTCATTCTAAGTAATTAATCCCTAAATGATTGCTAAATATCGAGACATGCAATCGTGTGTTCAAAGTATTGTAAAAACAATGTATTTGTTCTACAAATTAGTGTATTATTTATCTTAATTAAGAAGTCGTGTATCGAAAGCTAGAGATAAAACATTTCATCGATTCCTACCATCGATTGTAATTAGTTGTTCACTCATTATCCCGAGAATAGGCAAATCGTTTTGATCATTAATACGAAATGATGGATCGTTTTTGCCTAAAAAGTATTCAATCACTTGATTGCTATTAAGTGATTTCAAACACTCTATGGATGAACATCCGGAATATTTGAGGAAATTTTTTCTGTTATGTTTGTCAGCGTCGAGAAACGAATGGTTCAGATATAGCGCCGGATCTATAAGCCATGAATTGCTGTATAAATGCTTGAAATCATTGTTGGAAATGATGGCTAAAATGAGTGCAGCGCCAGAATCGGCACCAAATAGAGTGACTTTCGTGGGATCGCCACCGAATGCCTTGATATTGATTTGTATCCACTGTAGGGCTAACACCACATCCATTAAACCGAAATTCGTTGAATTGTTCACATTTTCATTGTTATTATCTTTAGTGCCATTATTGCCGCTATTTATCAATATATCCAAAGGCATGAATCCAAACGCATAGAGCCTGTAATTAAGGCTCACATATACGGTATCAGTACTTTTGGCTAATTTCCCATTGGGTCGGAGCCCGGGCTGGTGTCCCGACCCGAACTGTAGGAAACCTCCGTGAATCCAAACCATCACTTGTGAGTTGGCCTTAAATACAGATAACATTATTAGAAAAGTCGCAAACAAGACAACAGTTTGCAAACAATGTTTAAAAAACAATTATCTATTTTGTGTGTCCATTAGTAACAGAAGTGATGCCCACCTCTGGATCGATATTAGGTGTCCACACATTGAGGTACAGACAGTCCTCTTTGCCCTCAATTTGTTTGGTGTATGGGTTGACCTGAACACAGGGAGAGCCAAATTTGGTGGCATGTCGTTGACTGTTTTGATTGCAATTTAATGAATCGTTATTTAATTGTAAGGGCGCTGACCATCGCCTCGCGCCTGTTGGAGGGACAGCATATGGTATGCCCTGAAATGCAAACATAAGTAGGGTTATTTCAATTTATGATCAATATTACTCACATTTCACATTATAAATAGATTAGATGCCAGATATTATAATTATAAATTGTGCAAAATAAATCGTAAAATGGTTTTATATTATTTTTCATGAGATTAAATGCTTATATTCTAGTCATTTATGGTATTATGTATTCAGAGATAAACAAGAAAATAACATAAAATTATTTCATTTTAAAAGTATTACTAAATCTAAATGAAAACTTTAAATGCTAAAAATAAAAATTACTTTCAGAATTTTAAATAAAGCATTTTATTTTTATATTTACATGTCAGGCATATTCTTTAGTCACTAAAGTTTATTGTAATAAAGAATTGAACATTGATTTCAATTATCTTAATTTTGATAAATTATTCATTAATTTGATAGAATTTTGTTATTTTATACTTTGCTCAGATAATAAAAGATACAATACACTACACTGTATTTCATATTCAGTCACAAGAAATGACTCAAAAGCTGAGAAAATGCAATATTTTATATAATACTGTATATTGAATAAGGTTTTAATGAATATTCTAAGCAATGGTTATAACTTATAAAAATTAATTCTCAAAACAAGTGAACTATAGTTGAGTCAACGCTTCTTATTAAACATATTCTGGTTTTATATTGTTTTGCTTATTATAAATGCAAGAATATTCTGGGAGACAATGAAATTCTTAAATGAATATTCAGCAAATTAACATACAGTGGAAAATGATTTATTAATGTTTGGATTACCATTCTTCGCATATAATTAAAACGGTTTTTATTTTAATAGTTTTTACTGCAAAACATAATTAATTATTTTTATTTTTATTATTTACAAAGATGCTAAATAATTAATTAAATTATAAGATTTATGTAGTCATATTACTGCAATTCTAGACAATTGATAAAAATATAATTTATTTTAAAAAATTAACTAAATTTCTGATCAAGAAGAAATTTGAGAATTTTTAGATAAGAATATTCTTTAAGAATATAAAATACTATTCTAACAAAGATTGAGAAAATGAAAGAATAGTGTATAGAATAATGCAATCTATTCTCAAATACTTTTCAATACAGCATATAATTAAAACGGTTTTTATTTTAATAGTTTTTACTGCAAAACATAATTAATTATTTTTATTTTTATTATTTACAAAGATGCTAAATAATTAATTAAATTATAAGATTTATGTAGTCATATTATTGCAATTCTAGACAATTGATAAAAATATAATTTATTTAAAAAAATTAACTAAATTTCTGATCAATTAATTGAGAAAACTACTGCTATTTCAGTAATAAAGAAATTTGAGAATTTTTAGATAAGAATATTCTTTAAGAATATAAAATACTATTCTAACAAAGATTGAGAAAATGAAAGAATAGTGTATAGAATAATGCAATCTATTCTCAAATACTTTTCAATACAGTATTCAATTCAACATTTATTTATTTCCTTTCTTAACCTAAAATTCCTATACAATAGAGAAATGATTAGTTAAAAGGAGACACAAATCATAAGAATATATAGATTTGATTCAAAAATGTCTATAATTTATTATAAAGTGTTTTGAAGAAAATAATAGTTTTTGTTGTATTCAGAAAACTTTATGAATTGCATTGTCGTTAAAAGATATAATGAAAAAAGAAATTTAAGAAACTTTTCATTCTGTAAGGAATGTATAGTGAAAATCTATTTTAATGCTAAAAGTGTCAAAACCTAACATTATTTTAAGAAAGAAAATAATTAAAAGTTTGCAGAAATAGAGAAATAATAATAAATTGTTATAACGTATGAGTTATGAGTTTTAGGACCAATAAATCAGACCCGAAAAGGCATTAAAAATATAATACTTTGAAAACAAAGGCTTCGTGTTCTTCGTCTCCAATTAATTTTCCGCAAACAGTGTCGACGACTACTGATTCCTGACTTAATCCGAGCGCCTGTTCGGCCATCCATTGCTGGCCCTCCGTGTGATGTAATCCATTGGATCCGTATTTAAGGCCAGACTTAGCTCTGGCAGCAGTTATGGCAAAGATAACGAATGTGAGCAAAACGGCACAAATCAGTCCTAAAGCTATTCGCGAACGTGTGGCACATCTATGATACATGTGCTGCGAGGGTAGGGCTGGGATGTGACACTCCATCTGCTCGGCTATTGTCGACGACGGAGATATTAGGCTCTGTTGTGCCGTCCCTTCCCTTCGCTCTGTCCGCTCGACGCCTATTGTGTGGCTATCGTCACAATTGCTGTCCATTTGGCCACAAGCCTGGTATGAGGTGTTTGACGCCATTGTGTCCAATGCTCGCCAGATATGCCCTTCCTATTGATAAACACAATAACACTTTCATTATAATTATGTCTCGTTTCAAACGATTACAATCAACTATTAATTATACTCTAATTTCATACTAATTACTAAATTATTTAAACAAATACATAATTAATCAGTAAAATTAATTATATGCATATTGAGGGTGAAACTGATTTTGGTTTATTATAGTATATGGAATAAAATAATAGTATTTAGTTTATAATATTCTACTTGTATAACAATATCTCTTTATTATAATATTAAAGCGCTTTCATAAAATAAAAAATTGATTCAAATTTATCACTTTTTATATATTTTTCATTTTTGTTTTATTTATTACGCTCTCTCTCTCTCTCTCTCTCTCTCTCTCTCAAAATAAATTTATATCTTATCTCAACCTCTATTTGTATATTTATATAAATTCATATAAATATCAATTTTTTTCATTCAATGATGACTTTTCACATGAAATATAATAGGAAAATTCAAATTCTAAATATAATTCTCATTTTAATGACATTAAAGGGAAAAGGGTTTGAGAATTAATGTGAGTTCATAAATGATTTGCAAAATAAATTTCTGGCAATTCAAGTTTGTCTAAACAGTATATTCTCTACAATGATATTAAATTAATTATAGTATTTGCGATTAACTCTATGACAGGATTTAATGCAAACGAGTTAAGTATATCTTATATTTAGACATTGAATTAAATCACTAGAAGACAATTCCTAATACCTGTGCCCATACATTAAGCTAATTATTATTCGTTACAGAACTTAATTCTATTAATTCAGTCAATTCTTAAGGAATAGAAGTAATAGTAAATGAAATGAGAAAAATGTTGGCTTTAATTACACCACAATTGAGGCTAAGAGTTGGGGAGAGAGAGAGAGAGAGAGAGAGAGACCGAAGTATAATAAGAGAGCAATAATAATACAATTAAGAGAATTCCTGTCACGAGTCGTATAATCTTCATCTCATCTCATCTCACAATCTCTTCAGAGTGAACGCAAATATAGTATTGAAAAATCAGGACTTCATTATACAGTAGCGGACACTCTATTAATAGTGAACTACAATTTTTTGGTTCAATAGCCACTCTTCTAATTTAATTCACGCCTCATATCATAGACTTTTTTAGCAAAAATAAATACAGACTAACTTTGGTATAAAGAAACACAAACTCTTTGGTTTGGGTTTGGATTTGGTTATTGTGTTTGTTTTCATAGACACACAGAATATTACACAGAATCGCAACGAAATGAATGGTCTGGAAATAAATGGAAAGACTATGAACTGTCAAAAAATCAATAACTTATGCACAGATATACCAATACTAGACATACAGATACAAGTGCTCTCAATAAGTTCTGGGATACTATGATTCTCTCTCTCTCTCTCTCTCTCCAACTCTTAGCCTCAATTGTGGTGTAATTAAAGCCAACATTTTTCTCATTTCATTTACTATTACTTTTATTCCTTAAGAATTGACTGAATTAATAGAATTAAGTTCTGTAACAAATAATAATTAGCTTAATGTATGGGCACAGGTATTAGGAATTGTCTTCTAGTGATTTAATTCAATGTCTAAATATAAGATATACTTAACTCGTTTGCATTAAATCCTGTCATAGAGTTAATCGCAAA